GCTCTAACACATGTCTTTTGCGACGAAACACGCAACGGAGGATCGAAGTAGGAAAAAATCCGTATAACTTCGCATGAATTCCTTGTTGAAGATCCCTACTTGGTAGATGTAGAACATCTCATTTTGGTGAATTTGATCAAACTTTTGTATGGCCTCTTTGCTGGAACAGTAACATTCCCATTCATCTCTTTATTATTGTTGAAGATTCTTATACACTCACGTTACTTTTGTGTCTTTTACATAAAAATACCCAAAAGTGCATAAACCATTGTTATAATCCTGTGCATAACTAGTCAGTCTATTGCATAAACCAACAGACTGAGTTGTTAAAGTCAATGATACAGCAATCAAATCTTAAGTTTCCGTCAAAGATTGAGCATTTAGACATGTAATATTAGACTCTTGTAAAGAAACTCTTTTATGGCTATACCAAACAGATTCATTGATAAGGTTGATTGTATATAACGAAAACCTCTTTACTGAGCAAGTAAATTAACCACTTGGGAAGCCTCTCAAGTGGTTAAACAAAAAACGGAGGGGAAGAGGAGAAGTGTCTTTTTACATTCATATAAGTATTAGAGATGTCTATGTTCTTCAATTCTCATATATTTTATTATTCTATCGTCTGTTCATGGGTCTCAAAAGATATGTAAGTTGACAAAGTTTATTTTATGATATTAATCAGAGGTATAATGGTCTTCTGAGGTTCCGAGAAGTTTATTAACGTACTTCTCATGCATTGCATTCACATACATGTGCATTTATCCATGACTCAGACGGCGTTATATACGTGTATATATGTATATATATGCATATGGGATATGGAAAAAGGTTACGACGTTATATACACATCACCACCTAATCAGCTGGTATACAATAATAATGTTGCCCATAGTGGCTGAAATGATATGATGGTCTAAGATTATTTGATATCAAATGAGACAGGGTACCGGCCTACCCGTAAGTCTGTAGCAAAACTTTGACACGTTGACTCTTAGACTCGGCTGCACTTCGAATGAGGTGGAGTCTTACCGATCTTTTACTGAATACCAATCTCGTCAACTATGAGGGCTCGTCAAACTGATTATCTATACCTGTAGACATGAGTGCAGCGTCCCCAACAAAAGGACGTCAGTACGATTAATGTACTGAGTAAGTAAGGCGCATAAATAAGTACATAACAGACATGGAAGAAATATATAATAAATGACTCAACCTGTCCTAATAATGACATTGTATATAGTCCAACATTTCAGCAAACATTAATGGCTATGTCCCTTTATTTCTTTCACCATTTAATTGAAAAAAATGAGATAACCATATGCGTTGAAAAAATTTAAAACTTTTTTTCTTGACCCCACCTTTATGGGAAGTGATTTCCACATTAAGTAAAAACGTACCTCATTAGCTAAACAAACTCTTTTTCTGAAGTCGAACTTAAATTGAATTTTCTTTTAAAATTAAATAAATTGATCACTTAAAGATAACTAAAAGTAATCGTAAAAGTAAAATTAGTAACCTGAACATAAGACGGGATTATTTGTTACTATTTAAATTTTATTACACCCTTCGGAAATAATGATAGTATCATGCATATGCGTATGAATGTCATGTCGTGCATAGATACATGTTTCATAACATCATCAGGCTTCTGAGGGCATCCCATCATATCATCTCAGCCACTGTGGGCAGAATCATCAACGTATACCAGCTGATCAGGTGGTGGTGCATATATAACGTCATAACCTTTTCCCATATCCCATATATATAATATACATATATACCCGTATATAACGCCATCTGGTCATGGGTCAATGTGCATGTATAAATACATGAAATGCATATGAAATATGTTAATAAAATCTCTTAGTACGTCATAAGACCATTATGCCTCTGATTAATATCATGACGTAAACTTTATCAACTTACATATTTTTGAGACCCATGAACAGATGATAGAATAATAAGACATATGGGAATTCAAGAATAACCATCTGAGAGAAACCATAGAAATGAGCAACATTATCCAATCTCTTACTCTTCATTCATACAAACTGAGTTGTGCAGACTAATAACTAGCTGCTTATCATATGCATTTCTAATTCCTCCCTCACATATGTCTCGTGTGACCTTTACAAAAAGTTACCATCAACACTAGATTCTAAGGGCAAATTACGATTGATACCTAATTTTTCCTATATATATATATATATATATATATATATACTTTCAAAATAGTGCATATGTATCATCATTTGATTTATAAACACACACAAGTATTTTTTATAATTTTCTATAAATTTTAAAGGCTTTAAATCAATTTATTCCTGTATTTTATTTTATATAAATACTCAATAATTATCCTTCAAATTATTTTATGATTATTTAATCATCTAAACTCATCATTTATACCAGCATGTCCTATACCTTCATTCAATTAGTCAAATCTTTCAGTTGATGCAGGTTCTCACCCGCATCACATCTAAGATATAGAATAGATTTGGGTGTTGCAATGCATATAAAATGTGACGGAGAAATTAAAGTGATTTACAGAGAAGAATAACTCAGGAATTCTGTTAATTGTAACAACAAATGAGGAAAGTATGAATATAGATTAAAAAAAATAAGCCTCTACTCAGATTGAATAAGGTGACTAAAGTGTCATGGGATCTCCCCAATGAAGGCTGGATAAAGGTTAATACAGTTGGGGCGTCAAGAGGAAATCCTGGCAGGAGTGCTATAGGATTTGTAACTAGAGATGAACAAGGAGATGTGTTGTTTGCCAGATGAAAGGAAATTAACGAGGGGACTAATTATACGGAGGCTGAGACAGTAGCTATCTTGGAGGCATTGAGGTACTGTGTGCAAAATGTAATTTGAGGGTGTCACACATTATGAGGGAAGGCAACAAATTGGCTGATGATTTAGCTAATTATTCTCTCGATACTGGTAATTTTGCTCTAACTTTTTGCAGGGTTCTTTACTGTGAACATCCCATATCATGCTTTTCAAGACATAAGCATGAACAAGAAAAGAAGGCATGAGCAGTTCATAGCCACAAATCTGCTTAACAAATGTCGAAAAGGAAGATACATGAAGCTGTTTTACACACAGCAGTAGGAGTACAATCGCAACATAGTGGTCTTCATGCATACTGCGCGGTTCCATCAGATTACTGATCATAACACATTTGGAGATGAGAATGCTGGCCAGATGTTTAGGCAGAAATTTCAAATATTAAGGAACAAGTAGCACCTTCCTACAGCATTCAAATTAGCCAGGAAAAGCAACAGAGAAAAGGTAGGACTCCTCAAAGCTGCAGATACAGGGCATACTGATCAACTGGGCTTTACCACCAGTTAGTGTGAGGATGGTGGCAGCATGGAAGAGAGCTGGGAGGAGTTTCTCCTTGTTCTTGAAAATTGCTTCGAGAAAATATTTTCAAAAAGTTCTCCAACGCTAATAGAACAACACATATGTCCAAACGGTGATTGAGACAACAAAATAGATATTATCAAGTGTTTGTTCTAAATAGTTAGTTGCTCCTTGTTCGAATTAATTTTTTTTTTTGGTTCCATTTTTTCCCCTTTTTTTCTTCCTCAATCTTTTCATTTTGATATCCTTTCTTCTCACCTCTTAGTACCCGTCACTTATTCAGGAAAAGTTAAAACTACTTCTCTAAATACAGCCAAAAATCCTTTTCCTTCAAAATCAAAATAACATCCTAAAAGTATTCCGCCTTAAGATCATCTCTACCCAATTAAAATATTTTATCATTTTCTTTCATATAAGACCCACAAAAGTAAAAGGGTAGAAATCGAAGAGACAACCATGTTTGAAGTTCACTTGGGCGAGAAAAGAGTAGAATGTTAAAGTATAAAGAGAAAAAATTTGATACCCCCTTCGTTTCCATCAAAATTTTAAATGAAATATTTTTGTTCAACTTACCCATTGTTGTCTTGTTTTCAAGATGCCATTTTTTAAACTTCTTGTCCCCTTAATTTATAAATCATTACTGAAGATTCTAGCACAATGAGACTATTCAAGAACATCTTATAAAAATTGATCATCACTAAAGTGATGTTAAGAATGTAAATATTTTTTGTCCAAGGAAAAAGCATCCAAATCAAGCGGGAGTGTGTGATAGTAATTGTATTAGTGCACAATTGACAATTTATAGAAAACCACAAATTTGACAATTCATAAAAAACCACAAGTATGGTTTACGATCAATTTTCTCATCATTCTATGCCTCACGATCAACCAATTATATCATGTTGCTATATGTTTAGACCATGGCCAACACTGCAAGAAAAACTGCCTTTAAGGAAGGGAAATATGGTCCCTAAAGATCCAAATCTGGTCCTAATAAATCAATTGCGACGGGAAAAAGTTGATCGCCACCCGTCGCAATAGCTTTCGCCGCTAAAGGTCAACAACGACGGTTCTAAAAAACTGGTCGTTAAAGTGTTTTAGAGACGAGAGAAAAAGCTAGTCGTTAAATACTTTTAGAGACAACATATCTCGTCCCTAATAGGCCATTAACATATTATTCCAATATATATTTTTTGGTCGTGAAATAATATTAGAGACCAGCCTTTCCGTCCCTAATAGATGATTAATATATTATGAAAAATATATATTTTCCAACCGTCAACACTTTTAGCGACTAGAATTTAACTGGCCGTAGATTATATTTTAGAGATGAGACCCACTGGTCTCTATTTAAAATAACTGTAGTAACTTTAAGGACAGTATTTCTGGTCTCTTATTAACCACATGTAGTCCTAAAACTCGATGTCACAAAAAATTATTTTATAAATAAATATCAAATTGCTACTAAAAAGTCTTGATATAAAAAGATATTAATTACAATGTTAACATTCCATGATGTTAGTTTCAATAATAATGAATGCCTCTACCCCATACAAGAGTAAAAACTTCTATTTCTCTCTACTCCACATTTTCCCATTCTAAACATTTATGTTGTAACNGACAACAATATCAAGTTTTACATAATATTCCTAGCAAAGTAATAATGAGCTTGTATGTCTTCCAAACTTGCATTCTTGTAGCTTCAATCTTCAAAACCTGTAAGTACAAAATTTTGAAAATACGATGAATAACTATTAGTAAAATAATATATGTAAAACTACATTTGCAAGAACATAACTAATACAAACATTGGCATGTTAATCATTTTGGCACATAATGGTCTGGAAATTTGTCCATACGTGTCCTGAAAAGGCCTAGGTAAAGTAAAACGAAGTCACGCATATATTTTTTCTGATAGAAAATTTAACCTACAATATAAGTTCAACTCTGCAATTAGAAATCTCTACATAGTACATAATTGGTGGTTTGGTGCTATCACCCAGCATCATTTATCATAACGTGTGCAAGTGTCATTTGTCACTTATTGACAAAATAGAAAATATCAACAGAGGAAACTCTCCTCGTCAACTCTTCAGAATCTAAGTTTGTAATGTTAGCAGCATCATAATATGTAAAGGAGTCACTATAAGACAGCTTTCAGAAGAAGTACGTTGATGGTGTGAACCATCTTTAGATTTTGAAATGGCTTTTTGGGTGAAAATGCGCTTCTATCCATCTAAAAAAATGCACTTTGATCTGTACCTTTACTCCACTTTGATATGCTTACAGGTGATTACTTCTATCAAAAGTTATAATGTCTTAAATATATATAATACCTGTTTGACCCAACAAGTGTACAATTGGACAAAAGTGCATGTCAAGCAGCACAAAAGCTTATAGAAAAAGTATGTGTGTCCAGAATCGTTATACAGGCAGCACATGGATGCTTCAAAGAAGCTCCTGACCCCAGCTAATGTAATAAGAAATACAACAAATCAGACTAAACACGAAATGAACGCTTATTTAAAGAGCAGGCAATAAAATGGATTTAGTAAAGCATATACTTCCATCACCAAAACACTTGACGCATTTTAACCACCTAATACTATGGATTTGCACTTAAAGAACTAACAGAATTCAGCCTTCTTTATGCTTTTTTCCTTACAATGTGGCAAGTCTTATATATCTCTTTCCATGGTGAACAGAAACTTGGGCACACGAATCTTGGATCAATGATAATAGAATTAGTTGTGATAAAAGAATCCCAATACATATGGTATAGTGATGGGATTTCTTCTGTTTACTCATAGTTTACTCGCTAGTAAAATCAAACAACTGATATAATCTATAAGATAGAAATGACCATATGCAAATCAACAAAAAAAATTAAAAAGTAAGGTATATTATTACTAACTTGGCCAGCAGACAAAAAAATAGTGGTCATTCAGTTGAAACGGGCGATATCGTAGGCGAGACATGTGATTGTTGAGCAGCGAATGATTCCCTTATTTTCTTCATTTCTTTCATCTCATCTTCTAAGGTAGACAAGCGGTCCTGTAATGAATTATTTTCCTTATTCAAAGATTTGTTTTCCTCTCGAGTTGAACGTAGCGCGGACAGTAATTCAACCTTTGAAGAAGTGCCACCTTTCAAGTCTTTCGCCTTTACTCCACTCCCAAAGCCAAATACATAGCTACGAGTATGAGGTCCACAACATTTTTCCCCACCCTTTACATCAAAGGCAAACATGTCAAAAAATACCTCGTAAATATTTTCTTTAAGAATATAGATATTTTATCATAGTACCTTTTGATAAATAATCTCTCGAATAGGTTTGCTACCAATATCATGAAGCATCTTCAACTTAGCTCGGTTTGCTGCATTCCTATTGCTTCTTGCCTTTGTAAAATAATAAGCTTAAATATAATTAATGTAACAAATTTAAATAGTACACTTAGGTTTGATTCCAAGTATAGCGGAAAAAAGATATTTGGTGTCAGGGAAGGAATCAGACAGCAGATGCTTTGGCAAAATAGACTATTAAATCACTGGGCATACCTGAAAACTTTCTGATGAAAAATGTTCCTTTACTAAGCACTCCCATTCTTTCTTATCTACTCCCTTTGGAATATTCTTAAGAGCCTGTTGGATTGGCTTATCCTTCACATATTTTGCATGCAAGTGTCTTCTCCATTTATTCCATAACTCTTTCATCCATCCAAGATATGATTACGATAATCATTCATGTCAACACTCTCAAATTTATCCTACAATAATCAAAGTATTGGTTGATTAAATGCATCGAAAGATACTATCAGCAAAGTGATACAATTCTGAATTCCTCTTCAGTTATGAAGCTACCATGAAGCCTTTTCAGTAAAAACATAAAAAGAGAACGAAAAATAATTCACCTACATTGCTACACTTTTTGCAAGAAAGTAAAGAAGATAACTTCTCCTAGCTTTCAAGACTTCCAGGTTCAAGTACTATTTTCAACTAAGACTTGAATTTCCTCTTGGATGATGCTCACACCATAGCTATTCAACTTTCCCAGTCCAAATAAAGTTTCACAATCAAGGACTCATTCAAACAATTATTAAACTCAACTCTCAGTTAAACAAATAACTTAGAAACTCAATCAAGGATTGAGATCACAATTGGCAGCAACAACTGAAACACAAATGAAGTTTTTTAAAACTTACAATAGCTATGACAGACTTCAGCTCAATACACATAAATCAAGAAACTGAAATCGCAATTAAAAAATCTAAACACATTCATCGGAAAAAAGACTTAAAAATACTCAAAATGTACAAACATACTCTTGACTATATTTGTTACCTCAATAGCCGCCCACATATGATTTAACTTTTCTTGCTTAATATCATTCCACGATGATACTCCCAACGGACACATACCGCGATTATGTACAGTTCTGCCCAAGTTCTAAAACATCTTTAAAAAGAAAGTATGTACCAGATTTTTATTTTTTGAACAGATGAAAATGAATAGTAGACTTGCAATCCTTCATTTTTTGAACATAAAAAATGAAAATCTTTTTCAGATGTAAAATACATACGCCAATATCTTTATTTCATTACAAGCAACAATGAATTGCAATTTTCCCAGATGGTATCTCATTACTGCATTTACATTCAGAGTAGGTACTGATAAAATAAAAGAGAAATCAATACACTAATATTTATGCTATAGGATATGTCACTAACCATTACTCAAACAACCTGTTGCTAACTCCTGTTCTATGTAGATGCAAACCAGACAAGGTTGCAACAGTAACTTTGGTATCACCTTCTTCTCAATTGTAGGTCAATTAATAAGCTTTTACATATTCTCATTCATGAAAT